AACTGCCCACAAACTTTCTCTTCTGTTTTTTCTGTTATATTTTTAAGAAGATTCTCTGCTGCTGTAGTGAGTTACTGTATTTCTGTTTTTACAGTTCATCAAGTTATCACTGCACGTAGGTCCAGACCTTCGCAATAGTGACAGAATGTGTCTGGCGTTGGTTGATGGCTGCATGTTGGATCATGTCCATGCTGCTTTGTGAGCTGGTGGGTCAGATGGTAACTGATCAGGGAAAGGGTAAACCACAACACTTTAAGGGAAGGACTTTTGTTGCTTTTTGTACTGTGAAAATGGAGAAATGCTAGAATTTCTCTCCAGTAATCTGTGAGCTCCCAGGCAGCGGGTGGTGCACCACGTCATGTTGCAGCACACAGCGTGGCAGTGCCGCCTGACGTGTGTGTAGCCAGCAGCTGCTGTTAGCTTAACCTCAGGTGGTCCAAGGGAGAAATGTCTGGCGTTCCCTTTGCTGACTCAGGGATTTACACAAGCTTATTCAGGTTATAACAAGCCAATAAATTGGTGGTTTTTCAGCTGTAACAGAAAAGAAAGCAAATCTGTTTGTATTTGTGATGATGAGCAGTGACCGCACATCATCTCAGAGTCCCAAGTGGCATCCCCTCTCCTTTCCATCTGCACGGGGAAGATGAGTATAGGAAATCTGATTTTCATCTTTCAAGGTTACAAGTACCATTTGACTGCTTTTGCTACATCCTGAATTTAAAACATCTGTTCTTATGACACAGTGGAAAAGGCTACATCATTTCTGAATGTGAAGTTCAAGAGGCCGAAGGCAGATCAAAGTGGCTCAGAATTATGCATTCAAAGTTGTGTGGCTACAGATGTGTAGGAAATTTCATGGAGTTCATGGGTGCATTTCAGTGGGGAAAAAAAGTCTCATGAATATGCAGGTTTTTCCATGACATCACAAATCCCAGCATTAGGCCTGGATTTGATCACCAGGCGCTCTGGAAACATCAACAAACTACCTGACCAAAATTTTCTTTGGCTTTTGAGTGGCCTGGATGATTTAGCTGCACATTCTGGAAGAAGTATTGAGCCTAGCCTAGCAGAACATGCAGACTGTGTGTGAGGTTTAACTGAGTCCATGATTCTCTCGTGGTCAGTTTTAGTATTGGGCAGTTTGCACGCACTGTCAATACCAATGGAAAATGTTGCTTTTAACTTCACACCAATTGCTTCTTAGTGGAAGATTTTGCACAAATTTCAGCATTAGGGTGGCTTTTGAAACGGGTGTTTCACATTTGGTGGATTACTCTGCTTCAGCTGTATATTGCCAGGTCGTCTGTAGGGGCCTGAATTTGTAACATGTCTCCTGGTAACATGAAGTTTTGGGCTGTCCTCTTGCAGTTATGTCCTTCTTTTTATCATAAAATACATTGTAAGAGACAGTGACCCTGAAAAATTACATGCATTAAGTTTTCTTTTATGGTTTTTAGGCTTCAGGTGTACTGGCATTCAATTTTTTTCTACGTGACTTTTAATACACATTAATTTCATTTTATTCATTCACTAATTAATATATTGCACGTTGGAGGTACCTGTCACCTCTTCATAGTCCTGCCAAGATAGTACGGCCCTTACCTTCTCTAATTTCTCAGGAGTTCTCTGGCTTCCTTCTTGTTCCTTGTGATTGATATTGACCAGTAACTTATTTCTACCTACAGGAAGCTCTTTTACCCAGTAGGAGCTTAGATTTTCCTCTCTGCTTACATGCCTTCCCCAGGTCAAGCACTGCAAACATGTACATTTCATCTACTGTTGCCTCATTACAAATCAGATTAAAAGTAATAGATTTTTAAGAAAAAAATCTCTTTATGAGAAAGAATAAATCTAATAACTGTACAAGATAAGATTTCCATCAATATAACTGGTGAAATTTGTGAAAATGCAGACTGTAAGTTGGGTGAGGGCCTTGATTTTCAAAATAAACAAGATTATGTAGATTTGAATCTTTAGGATTTAGACATTTTTCAGACTAGCAGATGGGTTCAGACACAGGATGGGCAGAATTTTTAATAAATGAGAATGGGGCAGTTTTGAATAAAAACAAATAGAAGCTAGATGACTTTCATGCAAACTTCTTTTTTGTTTTTAGTTTGGAAGTAGAGGATACACTGAGCCGTATGCAGTTGTGCTCTCTGTATATCTTACCCTTTCTCCCCTTCCTGAGTAACTTTGAATCTGATGGCAAGTTTCAACTAAATTTCACTGAATTTTGCAGAAACTTGCCTTGGAGACTTCAGCCTCTTCTTCCATGCTTTGCATTGTGAGAATCCACTGCTGAGTGTGTGAGAGTCTGGGGTTATCCTGGCCTGTAGCAGGAGGCACGGAGCACCAGCAGGGCCTGCTTGCTGTCGGCTGGTGCAGTGAGGTGGCAGCGAGGTGCAGAAGGGGAAGAGATAACGGTGCTGGGATCGGGTGTGTGGGAGTGTGGGGACAAAGAAGTCCGTAGGAAACCAGGTGTCATTTGCTGCTCATGGAACAACTTGTTGTTTTTTCTAAATCTTCCTTGTAGTCCAAAGGCTGCGCAGTAGAGGTAAGTGCGCATGGAGCAAGCAATCAGTAAATGCTACTCATCAGCTTCTAATTGCCCTTTCACCTTGCCTTCTTAAGAGCCGTCTCTCAATCCTTTTAAATGCCACCTGAAAAGCTCTTCTCCTTTGTCTGTGCCCCTCAGATTTTCTCCTTTTGCTGCTCTGCAACTGTTAAGCTTTGCATATAGCTGTTTCTAAAGCCCTAACCACCACTTTATTTATTTAGGATTTTTAGTTTGTGATTCTGTAATTCTATTGTGAAAATAAATCTGTGATGCTTTTATGTGAAAGCTGTGCTATATAAAACATTTGTTTTTCCTAAATTATATTATTATTTTCTCCTGTAATGTTAGGCATGGTGGCAAGATTTTGGAGAGTTGAATTAACTGGTGATATGCAGTACATTCAACCTACGCAATGATGGATGAGAATGCCTCTATTTAGGGGGAGGATCATCTCATCCTTGGATGGTGCTCAGATTCCTTGTGTGTGTTTAGTTAGTGACTCCCCATGAAATAGAAGATTAACCACGCCGTGATATGAATGCATGGCTTTTTAGTAATGCAGTACATTGTGGAAAAACAGCATTGTCCTGTGAATTTGATGAATGAAATTATTAATGGTGATTATATGGACTCTTGCTTCCAAATGCCTTGGAAAGCACAGAGTGAAGCCATGTGAAGGTGGTCTGCTCTTCTGTTTTTAAGAAGGAGATTTTTTTGGTGGTTGGTTGGTTTTTTTGTTTTTGTCACTAGAAAAAAAAAAAAAGCATTTGTTTTTAAGGTGAAGATTTAATACCAATTAATATTAATAACTGCAACTCTAGAAGGGCTGAAAATTGTAAAGTACTGAAAAGGTTCAGCAGCGACTTGGAAAAACTTTAATAAGAAAATCGTTGCAATGCATTTGGATATTACTTCACATTTTTGATGTGCTCTTATCAAACTGGATCTAGCCAGCATTCTCCTCTTGGCTCCAATATCTCACAGCAACAAATAATTTAATAAGAGAAAGTAGGTCAGTGGCCTGAGAGAAACCAAACGTCTGCTGGGTCTCATGACTTTGTTACAGCAGACAGAGCTGGGGGAGTTTGTATGCATGTAGGCAGAGAGCTAGAGCTGAGATTTGTGTTAAAAGCAAACAACAAAATAAGCAGCAATATGGATAACTTCATTTGCCAACTAAAGCTGTGTCAGAGAAACTTCTGGTTGAAATCAAATTAAAATATTTTTGTGTTCATATCCTTTACTCTTAAAAAAAGATTTTGAGCATCAAGCACATATTAAAAAAAAAATCCCTATCTTTACAACTATCTTTACAACTCAGATTATTTATGGGGTTTGACAAATATTTGTGGGTAGTGTGAGCTGAACCAAAGTTGCATTGTTCCTCTTCAAGACACAACGCCCTCACCTTATCCTTCAGGTACAGGTAATTTTTCTGCAACACCATCATAAATCAAACAAAATACTTGTCAGATGTTTCTACTTGAAAGACCTATGGCACTGAGACTACAAAACATGAGAAAACAATGAAGTCCAGGCTGAATGCATAAACGTTTAAATAACTTCTGTATTCTGACTGTATTTGTAAATGTTCCCATTCTTGCCAGGTCTGTACGTTAACAAAGGAGGACAACCGGAGAGTCGGGGTGATTCCAAGCGATGAGCAGCTCCATGTGTTACCTCTCTACAAAATTTCACAAACAGATGAATTTGGCACTGAAGAGGGATTGGAAGCTAAGATAAAAGCCGGAGCCATACAGGTGCTCACAGCATTTCCCAGAGAAGTACGGATGTTAGCTGAGCCTCTGAGAGCTACAAAGAAAAAGAAACCTGACACAAGGAGGACCCCAAGTGAAAAGCAACAATTAATGGATAAAAAATATTCAACACCAATAAAGCTGAAAACTGAAGCGCCAGAAAATCTCAGTAACACTTTGCATTGCTTAGGTGAGTGCTGCCCATCAAATTCTGCTGGTTTCTTCTGATATGGTGTTGTGACTCACCCATCTCAGGGGAAGGAAAAGCTCCTTCATACTCTTTGTTGTTTTTTTTTTCCAAGATATTTCCATATTCCGCATCTTAGGGGCTAATGAACAGTAGTTCAATGTAGTATCAATGTAGTTGATATTCTATTGGCACAGGAAAAAACAGGTGAAGTTCGTGGTGGTGTGTTAGCAATTGTGAGTAATGATAATGAACCAATGAAATGTTTTCAAGACCCCACATTCTGATAAATAATGCTAGTAGAAGCATCTTGAAATACCGTTCTGGGAATGTTTATTTAAAGAACAGATATTAAATTCTATTATTTAAAAGTACAAGAACTGCTGTCTGCTTTGTATGAAAGACAATGGCTTTCTGACAATCTGAAGAGCATTTCCTTCTGATACTTTCAGTGACACGGATTCTCCACAGAGCAAAAGGCTTGCAAAAAAAAAAAAAAAAAGAAAAAAAACCACAACAGTAAACTTTTATTTAATAAGACAATACTTTTCACATTTTTCTTTGAAATACTGTCAGTGAGGGTGAGAGTAGGTGAAAAGTATGCTTTCTGTGTTACAGGAATGTCATTATGCCCACAGAGTCTTCTGAAGCAATATGTGCGTGTGCAGCATAGAGCTGCTCCCTGACCAAACTGTGTGTAGTTGCTGCCGTACCTCAGGTCAGGTTTTGGACCAGCATTTTGGAGAACAAAATTTTTATGTGGGACTTTTCAGTAATGAAAAGTAGAAAAGAAAGGAAGCCATGGAGTAAACTCTGATTAGAAGGGAGGTAACAAATCTACGGCATTAAAATACAGGCTGTCTACCTTTGGGGAAATATAGTGGAGCCTAAGCCTACCTGCTGTAATTTTAAGTTTTAATTCATGAGATACGTGGTGATAGATTTAATGTAAGGAATGATAATCAAATATATTTAGAAGAGTAGCTATACTTTCTAGGAAAAAGATTGTAAACAAAACCAGAGTCTATTTGACATGTCTGTAATTTATACTCAGTACCCTGACTACATGTTTCTCTCGGCAGAATCAGGGCAACAAATAAGGTTTTGCATAGAGCAAGATGGAATAATTAAATCCTAGGAAATTAGAGTTAATCTTCGTGCAAGTTTGGGAGATGCAGTCCAGGCTCTGAATATAAAGGTTCTTCTCAGGCCGAGGACATCATCCAACTCTGGTGCAGTGATTAATAACTTCCAGCATGCTCCGGGTGGACTGGAAGCCTTGGAAGGATTAGAGGACTCTGGCTTGTGAAGGAGTTCTGAAATCGTTTGATCTCACTGGAAAGTTGTTATGAAACATTGAAATAGCTGCCAACTGTCTACCTGCATGTGACTCTGTAGTTAAGGCATGACTTCATAATTTGAAAACCATGCCTTGAATTAGTGGTAGCTGTCCAGAATTTTGCGATATGCTTTGGGAATGTAAGATTTTCTTCACTTAAACATACAAAAATAATTAAATAACTGTATAAGCAAGTAAACTTCCATAATTTGTTTGAGCTTGAAATATTCAGGTAATTTAAAGGGGCTGCTGATGATAATAAGAGTGATGAAGAAATACTCGAAGGAGCAAGAAGGTTTTTTAGAGATGGAAAAATCAGAATATGAATTAAAAGATTTTGCTTCTATCATGAAAGCTTTTGTCATGGAGATTGTGACAGTGGAATCCCTGAAGATTCTGTAAGTGGAACACACAGTTTACGTCATTATGTCTGACTCTAAAAGGAAGTCAACACAGTAAGCCCAAATCTGCAGATGGCACATATAGCTGCAGATAGACAAGATTAATAACCGAAAGCATTTATGCACATTGTGTGTGCTTCCTGTACAGGGCAATGGCTGATTTTCACTGTAAAGATTTCTGTTCTGCCTCGTGCTGAAAATGTAAATGTTTGTAATTATGAATTTAGAGCATTATAGCATTAACTTACACATACAGCTTTTGCTGTAATAGGGGATCCGTCCTTTGGTTGATCCTTTCCATTTTGCCAATGGAAGGTGTCATTTTAGTCCTGAGAAATAATGAGTCTGGCAGAGATTATTAGGCTCAGTATGAAAACAAATCAAACAGTCTATGAGACGGAGGAGCTGAAATTAGACCATGCAGCAGTCATCACTCCTGATGGTAAACTGGAATCAATTATTTAATAGTACAATAGCCCTCCATATAAGCAGTGGCCATCAATTCCAGACATACCATTTAAACATTAAAAAAAAAAAAAAAAAAAGTTCAGGAGATAATGAAAGTATGGAAAAACTAAATTGGGAAAGGTTACTGCCTATAGTTTTAGGTAAGCAGTGAACAGAGTACTGCTTACAGCTTCTTTAAGCACGTCAGATACTGCTGCTAAATTCTGTACCAATGTAAGAAGAAAAGAATGAATGTATTGGAAAGGAAAAATGTAACGATGAACAGTATCTGTACTTACTCAGTTTACAGGTGAGTATAAGAGTTTTAGAGTATTGGTTTTGCTTTTTAAATGAAAAAGATATGGAAAATGTGCAGTTAGATGAGAACCGTTGTACATGCAGTCATTCGTGTTTTAGGCCATGTGAAGTCAACACTCTTTAGTGTTGGCCTGGGGGGATTTTGGAGTCACAAGGCTGGCTATTTGGTATTGTCCATTACTATTGCCCATTATCCACACAGTATTTGGAAAAGATTTAACAGTCGTTTCAAATTCAGTACTGTATTCCCAGCTGGAAAGAGAGATCCTTGTAACCTGCATGTCTTCATTATACACAGAGCTGGAAATTGAGAAGTGATAAGACAGGATTATCTTCTAGTTTTACCTAGCAGCAAAGATGATAGTGAGGAGGACCTTTACGGCGCTGAAGCCAGCTTAGGTCTGCCTGGTAGTAGAGCATGCATACGTGAAGACATAGTCTGAATCCAAAATCTGCCAAGTCTTTTGTAGAAATGCTGTATGTTCAGTAGGGTGCATATATCATGCAACTCCAGTCAATATCAAGCAGAGCAACTTGTAATTTTTACATTTGTGCTCATGCTGAGAGCCTTCAAAATCCTGAACTGTCACAAAATGCATAGTAAAGATAAAAACCAGACATCCTTCTTTATCCATCATTAACCACATTATTCTTTAAGACTAAACTTTAAAGATGGCAGTGTTATTTTGTCTCCTTAAATATTGACAATTCTTCTTGGCCTATGTTGGATATAACAGGGGAGCCAGCTGCTCAGTTGCCCACAGTAGCGAAGTACCTTAGCCAGCAGATCCTGCTGGAACAGGAGGTGTTTTGGGGGAGAGATGCCATCTGAGCTGAACCTGTACTGTTTCCTCTATCTATATGTTTGAATTAACTTCTGCTTATTAACATCTGTAATATTTTCCTCCTAATCAAAACATTCTCTGACTTTGCTTTGATCTTACATCCAAAGGAATGAATACAGTTTTGTATCTTTCTAATATGTATATTCCCTATGTAGAGAATATTGATTCCAACTGATGCTGTTAAGTGTACTTTCAGTGTTCCAGATGGGTTGCTAGTGGGAGTATATTGCTATGCAAGTAAAAACAGCAAAAGAATAGGAAATTCTTTTTCACAACAGGACTTGTGGCAGTGCAAGATACCATTTGAATTACCATTTTTTACATTTAGTTAAAAGTTAAACCAGTACAAAACCCAATCCAATTTAGAAATTGATTAAGTTATGTTTTCAATTAAAACAAAATGCACCTCCCCAAACTGTCCTTTCCCCTGAGACACTGCTGCCTCTGTTGCCTCATATCCCACCTTCTCTCTTCCACTAACTGTGCTGCTGCCTCAATCTCTGCTCCTTTCCCGCAGAGCAAGGAGCTTCTGGCAGGCAAAGGGGAGTTTGCTGGACTTGCTGCCTGAGTGCTTGCTAGAAGTATATCTTCAAAATACATAGCTCTCTCTTAAGAGATGATGAAAAAGTGCTGTTCTCAAGCACTGCATTTCAAGTCTTTTGAAGGAAGGCACTGTTTTGGATGTGTTTTGTTTTGTTTCTTAATTAAAAGAAATGCTTTGAGTTTGATTTCATAAAGAAGAGTTGATGCAGTTTCCTCATGTTGCCCTCAATTACAGTATTTGTATACTAACACTTTCCCTTTTTTCCCTCACTTCTGAAAGAATATTGAAAGTATATTTTTTAATCCATCACTGTTAATAAATTAGTAGAAGAGAAAATAGTTCTTCTATATTTGGTAAAGCAGTTAAACATTGTGTATTTATGGAACAAAGAAACAACACTGACAGAACCAGTCCTTTATGAGAATGTGGAAGAACTCAGTGACACAGCTTTAGGGTGCGACGCAAAGCCCATCAGTCAATGGAACCGTTTCCACTGCTCTGTGGACTCTGGCTGAAACTTAACTCATGACCAGAATGAGTCATTTGACACAATTTTGTTCCACAAATGAGCAGAATTGCAGTGACCCAGGACTAGAAACAGGGAGCTGATATAAACTGAATTAGTGATCCCCCAGAAATTTGAAATAATGAATGTTTGCCAATTAGATGCAAGACAGAGCAAATCACACGCTGCGGTTTGAATTTACGTGCAGTATGTTGCCAGATATGTTTTAATTCTAAGCAGTTAGATGCTAATGAGCAAATTGTAATTCAGTAACTTCTTTTTCTGTGATGGACAGGATCTGTTAAACATGCTTTCTCCTCTAATAAGCTGGGGGTCGATCATTTTTGTTGTTTTGCAGGCTTAGTTTCAGACATACATTTCAGCAGCTACAGCAGCTACCTAAAATCTTCTGTGCATTGCTGCCTGGAAGAGGGAGCAGTGCTGAAGGTAGGCAGCAGCTGCTGGGTGGCACCTGTGTGAACTGCAACTGAGCACTGAATCGATTTTACCTGTTTATTTTATCCATCCCTCTGTGAAATACCTTTCTATTTTCTATACCAACAGTCTGGCTGGAAAAGGTTAAGGAAGTAATTCAGCAAGGTAATTATGTATGTAGTTTTAAGTTAAAAATCACCATTTTGAAAAATGTGTAGCAAGCATGAAAATACCATCAAAGGTATGTTTAATTAACCGAAGAAAAGTACTTACCCTTTGGTGTGCATTTCTTTTAGGGAACAAAGCAGATGCTTTAAAACCTGGGATAAAAACGGAGACTTCCGATCACCTCTGTGCCATGAAACATACAGCAAACACTACTAAAAATTGCTCCTTATTAAAACAATGTACGGCTTCCTCCCCTTTTAAGGTGGATAGTTTACATCCTTATTCATCGTTAGCACATAAGCCTGGCATAACAGCAGTGACTAATATTCAACAAGATTTTTCAGTTCCCTACGGGTATTTTGAATGCAGTAGTAAGCAACCTCACGTGACACCTTATATTAATTGTAAGAACTTTGATGTGTCTGTCAAAGATTATACTGGAATTTTGCTGAATGATAAGATGAACGGTGTGCCGCCAATTCTTCCAGAGGTCACTGCTCCAGGCCCCCCAGCCCACAAAGATCCCCCACCCAATATACTTGAACATCAGCCAGACAAGCAGAATTGTCAGCCTCAGTCAGACAGTTCTCCTTCACAGATGATCAGCTCTTGCGATCTGTCAGTACCGTTAAGCTCTCCAGCAAAGGACACAGTTGGAAATGAAGCTGACTGTTCCCACAGGTGCCCAGTGGAAAAGGGTAGCTCCCATCAAGAACAGATGTGTGATTTTGACTGCATCGACGAAAAGCAAAACAGTGCACTGGGACAACCGACTGATTCTGAAGAAAAAGCTGAGGAAATGTGGTCAGACAGCGAGCACAATTTTTTGGATGATGACATCGGCGGCGTAGCTGTGGCACCTTCTCATGGTTCTATCCTAATCGAATGTGCGAGACGTGAACTCCATGCTACCACACCTATTAAAAAACCCAACCGCAATCATCCCACGCGGATCTCCTTAGTTTTCTACCAACACAAAAATTTAAATGAGCCAAAACATGGTTTAGCCATGTGGGAAGCAAAGATGGCTGAGAGGGCAAAAGAAAAAGAAAAAGAAGCAGAAAGATTAGGAACAGACAATACTGAACTGAACTCCAGCAGCAGGAAAACAAAGCAAACAAGTGAAAACAGAGAGATTTTTTATGAAGACAATGAGTTCAACCAAATTCCATCACGCAGAGCATTAACAGTAACTAAAGATAACGTAATAACAGTATCTTCTTATGCCCTTACCAGAGTTGCAGGGCCTTACAACCATTGGGCATAGGCTTTAGTTTCAAATGCCTCCTCTTGGTGCAGCGTTACGCAGTGTTTCTTTAAGGTGCTGTTAAAGAACAAGTCTTGTGTCGTTTACTATTTGCTCATCTCAACCATTTTAAGGCTGAGGTAAAAAAAAAAATAAAAAAAAGGGGGGATTTCTTCTTAAACTGTGACTTTAACATTTGGTGGTGCTCAAGCACATTTTAAGCAAAAAAAAAAAAAAAAAAAAAAAAAAAGTTGTATAGTTTTAATACATTCTAAAAAAAGATTTTGTTTAGGTTATTAACCTTGATTGAAATCATTCAGTTTATTACCTTTAGGAATTTATATTTTGGTGCTTTAAATCAAGTCTGTTTACTACAAAAATCATTTATAAGGATTTTAACAGGTTCACATTTTATGGTGTTAAATCAAGTTATACAGTAATAGCTCTACACAGCTCTTGGTGCTTAACCACATCAAACAGTTAAAATAAATAAGCTGAATTATTACTTCATGGTGCCATTGCTTTAACAACTTCCAACCATTGCTATGTAGTACAAGTTGCAGAGAAACCTTTTAGAAAACCAATGATTCTTTTTCTCTAGATTTGTCCTTCCACATGAAATGAAGTTATTGGCAAAGACGGCTGGAAGTTGTTTTTAAGCTGTAAATATATATTTTAAAAGCACTTTCTATTTTTAAAATTAACTTGAAATAGTATAGTATAAGGATCATATTGTCTAAGGTTTGTGCATACTCTACAGAAGAAATCATTTTATTCTTGCTGTGTAGAGTTCCATATTGTTACAGCTGCAGTATGTATGCTAATAGTATGTGATTGTTTTTAGACTTGCCCTTTTTTGTGGAAGATTTTATTACATATAAACAACTTATAAAGTGCAGAAACATTTTATTATTTGAAAGAGAGTGTGCAAACATGAAATTAGGAGACATCAATACGTGTGTTGAGGAGTTACGATTTTTGTTTTTTTAAAGGCAGCATTTGTTACGATTTCTTTGAGCAATAAGTGCGTAAGTCTCGTTCATTTGGAACATTATAAGTTAACGTGACAACCAAATGTTCCTAAGACCTCAGGGGTAGAATTGTTTTGGGATAAAGAATACCCCCTAGAGTTGCCTTATTCTATTCTGAAAAAATATATATATTAATTTGAGGAAAATATAAAGGAAGTGTTGAAAAAGAATAACATTTCTAATATTTAACAGCAAATTTTTCATTGAGAAAACCCATCTGTAGTGTTTACCAGCTAAGTTCAGGTTTTTTACAAAAATGTTTTGTAAATTTTTAAGTGATTTATACATTTTGAGTAGAAAAGGTTGTATTCTTCCTTCCAAGCATATGAGTTTTGTTTTCCGGTTCTGTTGAAAAAGTGTCATATCATGAAACGAGTATTTGCCAAACCAGAGAGAAAACAGGCACTCCATTGCTTTTAAATGCTGTAGCATCCCACTCTTCTTTCTGATTCTCCTCTCCTATGTATTTCCTTTTAAAACTTATTTATTTAAACAAATTACCAAATGACAATGTTAGCTAAGGACTGACCTCATCCTGCAACTTCCTCCATGAGAACAGTTCCACGTAGCCGTACCTGCCAGTTCGAGCGAGGAGCGCTGCTCAAACCAGGCCTCCTCTCCTGGCTGAGAGCTGCAGGATCAGGGCCCAGAGACAAAGCTGTACCTTAAGTCTGCCTCAGAGTCCTCCCGGCTGGGTAAACCCATGGGCTTAACGAGGTTAGAGTTCTCCAGTGTGAAAGTATACTAATGATATACTTGATATTATTATACTGTAGTGGTGCTGTAACAGAGGAACATGAATTTTCTAGATCTCCTTTATTTAAAATCTAGACAAGGTGCTTTTTCCTTGAAAAGATGAACTGTAAATGCAATGTTTACAGTTTTGGTACGAAAAGTACTTAAATGGTATTTTTAACATATAGTGCCAGTCAGTGAGGACCTTGGTGATACAAATACTTAAATACGGCCGTAGATCATTGAGACCGTTCTCCTGCATAAATGTATACACATGTAGTGTTTGCAGGAGCAAGGTCTGAAGTAGCAATCACTATATAATGACCTGGGGTTCAACTGCACAGATTCCTGTCGAAGTTAACAAAAATATTGATGGCAGAAGATGGCTGAATTGAACCCATTCTTTGTATCTTAAGTAAAATTTGTAAAAACCGGGTATGCTGCAAATCTTAGTTCAGAGCTTAATATTAGTTCAAATAGAGGATATGAAGGGATTGTAAATAATAATAAAACAAAAACAATATTACACCATCATTTTGTACCAGCAGTTTTATGCTTCTTGACTACGTAATATACAGTATACATCAAATCATTATGGTATTTTGTGTGCCTTAGATTTCCATTTTGAAACTCGTATATTTTTGGTGAGCCTAAGACTAGTAAGAACTCCGGCTGTCCATACAGGAAGTAGTGCTGTATGTTCTGTAGCTATTCCATTCACATATTTGCTGTCTGGAAACCCTTGTCCAAGACCGTAAGCAACCATGTACAGGACATACTAGTTGATTGGTTTCACTGTGAGCGCTGATGGCTTTAATTTGTGTAATACAAATTGAAAATACCATTCAGCACTCCTATATGAGTAACAACTTTTCTACACAAAACAATGTTACAGAGCCATCTACTTACCGTTAGAAATGTTCTGATCATTGAAGTGGATCAGTTTCACTTGAATCACCCCAATAAATGTCCAGGTTTAACTTATGTATTATTAGAAACTTCAAGATGAAAACGTTCCAGCTAAAAACCAGCAGCTTCCCTCAAAGAAGTGAGAAAGAAGTGAAAGGTGGATCTGAAAGGATACCTCCAAACATAGCTCGTGGCAAGTCACTGCTCAAGTGACAGCACCAGAAGAATTTCAGCAAGTTCAGGTCTACCTTATTTGAAATGGCAGTTTTGAGAGAAAAGTTTATCTTAACACAATAGTAATGCTATTAACTGATAGGTGCTAAAACTCAGAGTTACTACTTATTAAGATTACTTATATGAGAAATATATATCATCTGTACAATAGGTGCTCTTTCCTTGATTGTCTGTAATGTAACTACTTTCTCAGTGTGTATCTAACAGGCAGGTTAGCTGGCCACTTCTGTTTCCTGCTGTGGCACATAGCAGGCTGTGATTTAAGAAGTTAGTATTTTCTATTGCTGTACTGCAGTGTGAGAAATACAACCATTTACTGTTTTTACAACTGTGTGCTATTTATTGTAACATTTCAGAATATTTATCAGCCTTGTATACAAACTACGGTTTTTGTTTTTTGGTTTTGGGTTGTTTTTTTTTTTGTGAAAGGTTATCATTTTTATAACAGTATTTGTCTGTTAGAATTTGTAAATCTATGGGTGTATTGCTTTCCTTCACAGCCCACATCCCTACATTGCCACTTGCAATTTGCTCTTACCCCATAAGAAAGTCCTTCCAGGATGGCCAGATCAGAAACTGGATCCAAAGTTAATGTAGATGGCTAGGCCAGGCCCACAGATTGTACTTCGTTTCTGACAGCTGGCATTGTTCCTGGTGGGGAAAAAAAAAAACAAAAACAAAATGGATTCAGGTATGGGCTGCTGGTGGGATGTGGTTGCCTTTGAATCCTTTTTCACAGTTCTCTAGCAATAGCTGTCAAGACCCAACGTGGGACACCTTTGATTTTCTGGGAGAGATGTCTCTCATCCCTTTCCCCACTGGGTCCAGGACCACCACCCCACCTTTACTGTGAAGGAGTGAGGAGAGAGTAGTGCTTCCTGCAGGAGCCAGTTCTGTGCGAGACACTGAGTCCATCCTGGGTTACTGCAGTCATGCCCGACTAAATACTGAATTTAATCCATAGAGGTTCTTCGTGTTCCTGTTTGTAACATCCCATCTTGCATTACAGAACACAGCAAAAATAATTTCTACAAATATTTTAGTCACAAGATCCAAAAAGCTTTGTAAGAACTTACAGATATTAGTGACCTTCTGGCTGTAACAGTTGTATGCAGTTTTACTTTTTTTTTGCAAGGACTTTCTAAGCTAACTCTCTTACTTAGGAATAACTGCTATTGTAAGTCCTTATCTGACCTATGACAGTACTTCTCTATACTTAGAACAGGAAATAACTGTAGTATCTATAGTAACATTTTATGGTAAGCATGGGTAAATTACGACTTTGTTAGTTCTAAAGATAATCCGTAACATACAACTGTTTGGATTGGTTTTTTTGAAAATGCCTTTATAATATCATTGCAGTATTACTCTAAATTTGATGGGTTAAATTTGGATCTCATTTGGGTCATTGCTGCAGCCCTGTTGACTGCAATGTGGTCATTTATCAAACTTTCATGCAATTTTCATATTTAACATTAGATGGATATGGGTACAGTTGACCAAAGTCTGTGCCAACTCAGACCCTTGCAACACTTCCACACTGAATAGTTCTTGCAAGGACAGATGCAGAGAGATTTGGAACCAATGTACATCCTGTTAAATGCAGAGGTTACGTTGTTTGTAGCTCCGGAAGTAATTGCTGGTCTGTAGAGACTACATTCACCTTGAGTTTCACACATGTGAGCAGATCTCTTTCAGACCTGTTTTGGGCTTAAGTTCTTATCAGCTTTTTAGACTTTTCTTATTTGATAGATTATCCAATGACAAATTTTAATTGAAACCCGCTTAGTAAAACTACATTGTCATGATTTTATATTTAAGACTCATGGTTCCATCTTGTTCTTTAATTTCCTATGAAATTCCTCTCTTTGAAATCAGCTCATTTTATCAAGTAGTCATCAATTTTATAATCTTTTCTTGAAACTATAAATATGATTACTCTCTTCTACTTTCTTCTCCTCCACACAAAATACTCTACCTTAGGCTAACAGGAAGAAATGACCGCACCCTCACAAATACAAAAATCAAAATTGCATGTCTGCTTCTCACTTGCTATATGTAACTACAGATGTATTCATGCAGTGTTAAGTGAACTCTCTTTCAGGTCCACTGTGGTCATTAAAATTCAAAGTGAGGTCTTTATGATGCATCTTCCATAAAATTGTTGGTTTTATTTCTTATGTGTGAAAAATGTCTGCCCAGCTGTGCCCTGTGATTGCCTCTCTAAAGTAATTTAGAGATAAAGAACAGTCCAATCACATGTGGAAATACTGTCTGGCCTTCTTAATTTTTTCAGACCATCTGACTTTCAGGAGAAAGTGAGAAGGAATATCTTAATTTAAAAAAAAAAAAAAAAACAACTGCAAAGAAAGCTTGTGTTGACTGCTGTGACACCATGGTACTGCACTGCAATCTGCACTGCAGCATTGTTTCTAACCAGTAAAAGGACGTGTCATTGCGTCCCACAGCTGTGGATGCATGAACGCATTTGTCTGCTTCCATAGTTCTTCTAGGGACAGTAATTGTTGCTTTGTTCTCTGCCTGAGTATGTTGGTTTTTTTTAAGGAACAATAAAAGAAAGCAAAAAACAAAGAAGAGGGAGAGAATGTTGGTCAGTGTGTGTAGACAGCCATAGGCAAATATGTAGTAGGTACAGTACTTCTGAAATGGCCTTCTCTGTTCACATGGTGTGGTTGCTAGGGTACTTCTTAACACTGACCCTTATCTTGGTACCTCTAATTTTAAATACAAAAGCTTTTTAAAGTCCATGTTATGTTTATGTCCTTCTTTAACATGAAATAGAGAGGCTGCTTAGTGGAACAGTTCACAAATTGGTTTTGGTGTCTTCTACCATGATCTAATCCATAGTCAGCTTTCACAAGTTGTCCACTTGGTGCTTGAGTATGTTGCAGCAAAATGTAGAGATTTACATTTGAGGTTTTCTCAGAGACCAAGGATTTCTAATAGTAATGTCTACTCAGGCGCCAGTAAACATAGAGGTCATTTTTTTCTTCTAAGTCTTTGAAAATTGATTTGAGTGTATTTTATCATTGTCCAATTAAAACACTTTTAGTCATGTCCAAAGAGTGAGCTAATTTTTTTTCTTAACGCTTTGCATTACCTGCTTGTTAAATTTAGACAGTTTTCATGGTAATGCTGTGTTATCTCCCTGAGAAACACTTCATGTGATCGGTGTCAATGGGTAGGCATGCTTTCTGCCCTATACAGACAGGACCGAGTACTACAGGCAGCTTTCTCATCCCATGGTCTCTTTATGGATCACCTGTTGTGGCAAGCTGTCGGCCCTAGATGATGTTACAACTAGCTGCCAAATGCTTTAAGCACTTCCAGCTGCTCCAGAAGTCCTTTCTATCACTCTGCAGATCTGCTTCAGTACTCAGCAGCAGGAGTGCAGATGTCAGCCTGCTCATGAAAACTCCCCCACCTGCTACTGCTTTGTATGTTAGTCATCCAGCCTTCATCTCAGGAATATCATAAGAATTTATTATTCTTGTGACTGTTCCAAACTCTGTTTTCTTCATTCATCTTTTATTCTGTATAAGGTAGTTCTATTTTTCTAAATTCATGTTCTGTCTTAGAGAATCCAGAATATTGCAGTTGGATACTTTTTCATTCCAAGAAAGAAGGACATTTCAGAATCTTTCACCCTTCGGTGTTTTCTTGCTTTTTACATGTTTTTCCAGTTAACTTCAGATCTCTTGCTGTAGCTGTCATGCTGTTGTTACACATGCATGCAGCTAAAAAAACCCTTTGCTCACAGCCCTCACTCTCTAGAGTGGAAGATTTTTCTTCCTGTTGCTAGCACCTCTGTGAAGTGAGCCCTCTTTTCTTCCAAGTTACTCTACCAACTCCACCCGGGCCCTCACACGAGGTCCGGCAGACCTTGCACCATCATAAGAGGAGTATTTCTTTACATCTTGCAGCTACATTCTTGTGCAGAGGTTAGTTATCATCCTTGTGAGAAACCCTAGCATTGTGCAAGTGACATGCCTTAACTGCCAGGACTGCTTGGAAAAAAAGGAGTGGAACAATGGTGTTTTTTTTTTACTTTTTATTTCTTTGGTACTTTCTCTGTAACAGCAAGTGGAACTGATTGAGCTTGAGCAGAAAATAATTACATAGTAACTGCCTTTTATAAAAGGGTTATAGGGGTGTTGCCATTGTCTTTCTGAGATTCAAAGGCTTTAGCATTCTTTTTCCAACTCAGTTCCCCAGTTCATCCCACTGTTTGTTTATGCTGCTTCACCATGTATTTGTGACTTCAGCTTGTAAAGATGTAAGATGCTTCTTAATGCTCTTTTCTGAATTCTTCTAAAACAGCATATTTTCTTTTTTCTACTGGACCACTGTATATGTCATTTTTTGTGGACAGTTATATGAAAACGCTAGAATCTTCCATCAGTGTACTTGCAGTGAATGCAAGATTAGGGTGCTAAATGACTTACATGAAGGTGACTTGTTCTGTATGGTGTGACAATGCTGTTTTTACCACTTTGCACACTCTTGCAGCTTTCCTCATAAAATGAGAGGACACAGGCTGTAGATCTGAAAAACCTACACCTGTAAGTTTGGACAGATTTGTCAGCTAACCTACAGAGAGTTACCAGTTTTGGCAGATAAACTGAATTCCAAAGAAGTGCTGCTGCAGAGGTGTGAGGGAACAGCGAGTTTGATGTTCAGTATTGCAATTGTTGCCACAGAACATTTTAATGCTGTTGTGGAAAGTTTTGTGATCTTATCGATATTTTACATGTATGTCTGTAGTTTTATTACGTTGTAATGGAAAAGGGTCTAGGATCTGGGAATCTTTTTTTAAATTAAGAATGAAGGATTTGATTGTCCTTTATACCACTGTCCTTTGCACCATGTTAAAAGTTCAGAGAGGCTGTAAATGGATGCCCACTGAGCTTACATCCTTTGGAATACCCCATTATACTGATTGTGGTTAAAAGGTCATTAGTATAAACTGAACTGTTACCCACAGATGTGTACAACCATGGGAAATCGATGTCTTGATAGCCCTATTTTGTGCATATTGGCCATTAACATCCAGATTGTTCTTAGCTTAGAAATACAGGTTGAAAAGAAATTTCTCTGACCTGTTTTGTAAAGAATACTTAAAAATTTGTTTATATTGGCTGTGCATTTCCCAACCTTGTCTACAAAGAGAATGTGGTAGAAGATTTATACCTCAAAATAATGACCTGGCCAGAAATGTCACGGAATTGTCAACAAGACTATTTCTGAGCTTAGACAGTTTTTCTTAAAATGCTTCCTTGCTTTTATTGTTATTTGAACCTTTTACACAGTTACATAAAATGGGTTGTGAGAGTGTACCGCAGTCCATGCCTTTCTGACTTAGTCCCCAGCAGGGTGTATGGTGCTGTGTGACGTTGCCATGCTGGGATAAGTTGAGAGACAAAGCTAAAAGCCAGCATTCTGTGAGTGCCCGCTGTGTGGCACTGAAACTGCTGGCACTGCCCTGCTTGCTTGGGCCATGCAGAGCTTCCCTTGCTGCCAGTGGCAGTGCCATTTCCCATACCCTTGTGATAAATATTTCTTTCAAAAAGATTTGAAGAAAAAAAGTCTTATATTTTAATTTTTTTAATTTCTAAAGTGCAGTGATACTGCAGAGCCTAACAAAAACAGATTCCGTGCTAACTTTGTGGATGCCAGATCCATGCAACAGAAGGGGCAGTGTCTGAACATCACAAATCTCTTGTCCTGTGAACAAAAAACAACTGCAGGCAAGAAAAGATATCCCAACACCACTGAAAGAAACCCAGTTCTAACCAATACAAACACTTAGACATTTTCAACTTCAACAATTAATCAGTCTAAGGCAATTTGTTCGGTCTAGAAGAGACAGCTCTTCATAATGTGACAGTATTATACCACAACATAAATGTTGTTCAAAATCTGCTATCATAACAGCATTAATTTTTAAGGACACACTGTACCAAAATGCTATGGCTAATGAATTCTTTCCCGATGTAAAAAAATTAAAAGATTAACAATATGCCAAAAAAAAAAAAAGTCAGTATTTTCTGTCTTTCCTTCTGTCCTTCCTATCTCTTTCCCTGTTTTTCTTTCTCTCTTTCCTTGGGATGCATTTGATATTTATTTTTCAACTTTGAGGTTTTGCATTATTTCATTTAACAACCTACTGTATTTAGATCTGAAACATAACTTTTATAAAGCAAAAGATGATGTACAGGGAGAAAAAAATCAGAAAGAAAAAGCACTTCATTATGTCACCGTATCTACAGGAAAAAGTGTAAAAATTACTTCTTTTCTCAAAAAATATCTGGGGCCTGATTCTTTCCTAGTATAACTGAGCATAGCTTCATGAGAGTGGTGGAGCTCTGAAGAGTTACACTAGCAGAGAAACTGAACCTTACAATCTTTGCAGACAAGGGAACCCTTACCAGCAGTACTTGAAGACTTGTGAGTTGTGACTGCATGTTACTTGAAAGATCTAATTAAGCTATGTTTTTTGGTGCAAGCAGTTGTTGTACATGATTTCATGTTTATGTAGCAAGATGCATTGAAATGTTGATACTAGTATTGAAACATACATGTAAAAATTGTTGTTGTGGAAATTGTCTGTTCTGTTCTATTTTTCTTGTGTGTCTCATCTGTTTAGAACGTAAACTTTCATTTTTTTTATTGTCCTAACTGAATAAGGCTAAATGAATACTGTAATTGAAAATATATTTTAAATCTTGTCATGAGTTTTTAAAAAGACTATTACAAATTGTATCATTCCTGATTACACAGAACTTTGTGGGTGGTTTTAAATAAATTTTATACTTCTATTTTGCACTTAGTCGTCTAATTTTTCTTTCCTGAAGTGAAACATAAACATTCTCGTAAAATGCTTTGAGAGGGGGAAAAAAAGTTTTTTTCCCAATACAAAACAGAACAAAATCATACTGAAGTAACTAAAGATTGAAAATGTATACCCTACAACCTAGAGCAAAGTTAATGCCCTTCTTCATAATACAGAATATGAAGTTATACGCTCATTTGTGTGTATGTATAAACATCATCCAAATGTATGTATGCATCTATAATGTATAACCCATTGTTTACCATTTAAAACACATTTATCACTCAGCTGTCTGGTTACCTCTGTTGTCTGTCTGCCTTTCCTCACCTTTCCTCACTGTTCTGTCCCACGCAGGGCTGTACAGTAATAGAAGCTGTCAGAAAATCCCGGAACTGAAAATCTGAAAAGAACAAAACAGTTTGTGATGATCATACAAACAGTGACTCGCTATCCTACCTGCCTTATCTGGCAGAGGAAACTTATGGGGATCATTACTACAGCTCTCTCTTTGGTTCCTATCAGGGAAGGGGTCCAGTTTTTATTTGCTTCAGCACAGAGGTTACGTTATTTTTTTCTAAAGACAAAACAGACTGTGGCTCTAGACAGCTTTATTATGTAACATTTTAGTGTAGAACAATATGAGGGAGAAATTCTGTTTTTAAATCTGAAGGAGGAAAACAACTCTGAATGTTTGCATTTGCTTCTTTTCCTTTCCAAATAAATGTAATAGCAAAAATTATCCGTCAGCATAGTAGTCTTCCAGATAACTTGACTCTCTCAGAGGGCAGAAAAATGCTGCTATCCTCAGGCTCCAGTAACTCCCTAGCATTGTAAAATACATTACATGGCACAGCATGTTGAGAACTGAGAATGGTAATCCAATAGGAATGCCTTTACCCTGCTGTGTAATTTGCTGTGCTTTTAGAGGATAATCATGAATGGGTTTTCATAGCAACAGATCTCCCAAACTGCCCCAGTCCTTCTCCAAGCAGTACTATCAAGCCTTTCAAGTAGTACGCATTCCGTGGTTTGATATTAGAGCCAGCATCCTTATAGCACAGGTGTCTAAGAATGCACATGGACTTTGAATGGTACTGAAGACTTAGGAGCAGACCCAACAACATGAGGGGCAGACATGGTTGAGGTGGCAACATTTTCCAGCTACTTTTCAGGTACTGCCAACCAGCTGCATCTTGCCTTGTCCTGGCATTGCTGCCACCCAGCTTGCTTCCTGTTAGAGCTAACTTTCTTTGTGTTATAGAGCATATTAACTACAGAGATTTTAAAACACAGCTTCCACCCATAATTGTGGGAACAAAACCAAACCTAGGCTTCTGTTTTTGCACAATGATGACCCTGACTCCATCCGAAAAATTCCTTTGGGAAAATGAAGCATTAATCCTGTGTTTCTATGGCAGATTCTAACTCTCTTCCTTCATAGCAGGTAGCCTTGTTAGGGTCAGCCTGAGTCACAGCTGCTCCAAATTCCAAAGGGTGAGATCTGTCGGGCTGTTGTAAATTACTCTCTTCACAGAGGGCAAGAGGCTGTAAATGGCACAGGTGTGCCACCACTTAACCACCCTCACCTCAGGCTGCAGCTCTTGGGAGAGCTGGCTAGCAATGTAGTCAAGGGAAAAAATAAAAGGAAGGAGACTTCTCTCTGTTAAGGGCACATCAGAAAGTCTTGCAAGTGCCAGAGGAATCTCTCCAAAGAATACAGGGCAAGCATTCCCTTTGAATGAAATGTCTACCGCCTGAGCAAACTGAGTGCAAACCAGAGCCTAAGTCCTTCTCCTTTGCTCCCTTATGCTGAAGGAGTGCTGTTGGGGGCTGGTGCTGCACAAGCAAGTTCTAAGCATGTTTGCTGTTCTTCCCATGAATTGCAGCCTGTGTAGCAAGCTAAACCTCTGAATCTCTGCACTGTGCTGCACCACATCATGTCTGCCTGTCCTTCAGATCAAAGGTCTTTGCCCTGCTGTGGGAGGAGGCTAAATACTGCGGGCAGTACTGGTAATGAGTGGTTCTGATTGAAATCAAATGTTAAACAGTAAAATATAAAGCAAGTCATAAGATTTGACTTTAGTTAAGACATTACTTTACTCTTAAAAGATGTGGCTATACTTTTCTGAAAGAGATTTCCCCCTTTTGCAAGAGTGCATTTCTCTGGAATTTCAACACTTTTATCCAAAACAACTTTCAAAAGTGTCCTTCTAATGCATCCTTTTAATCATAGGAACACTGATTTGTTTTAATTTTGAAGTGTCAGGTGGGGTTGTTCATAAGAAAAATATTGGGAGAAGATATTTAGTTGCTTATTTAAGATAACTGACAGAGCATTGGTTCAGCTGAATGAAAGCCAGCCTCTCACAGACTGACAAAACAGCTGCAAACACAGACCTCACAGATCTCTGTGTGGGATCTGAGTGTGGCAATTAAATGGCAAGGCAGCAGCCACTGGACTGCTGGTGAGCCACCCTTCTAACATAGTGCAGAGCTGGCATTTCAGCTGCACTTCACCTGGCCACTCCTGTCAGTCTACTCTCTCCTCTCGTTTCCTCAGAACATCCTCTAAGTGTTAAGTTTCATTTTCTTATTGTTGCAGTTCAGCTCATGGTATTTATATAACCACAGAGGCAGCCAGCAGCTACAGCTTTGGTAACAGCTGGGCTCTGTTGAATAGCACCTCCCCTGCACGGCTGCTGCCACGCTGCAGCAGCTCTGTAAAAGGCATTCTTCACTTCCACCTAAAGAGCCCCCTTTTTCCTTGGGGCAGCACGACCATATTAACAGACTAATTTTTATACATCATTTTTACCCAATTTCAATTTTTTTTCAGCACTATTTCTCTGAATGTAATTACTTCATAATTTAACTCTAGCTGTGGACACGGCTACATCACAATGAAAATGCCTTCAGCTCTGTTAGGCATGTTTGTGAATGGAGCCAGCCTTGTTTGCATCACAGCAACAGTAACAAACCTGTCATGGTATATCTCAGGAAACTATTTGTATGAACTGTATCACAGACCTTGCAGGGTGAAGTATTGAGAACTGTGTTCTACTCTTCACATAATTCTGCAAACATCCAGCAGCCTACATAATCTGAGAGAGAATTCTAGGCCGACTGGGTTTCCTCCAGAAAAGTATGCTGTAGCCCCCTGCGCCAGGAGTGATGCTGGACACTCCACTGAGGCTATATTATAGCTATTAAAACCAACTAGCCTTAATAAAAGGGTGGGGTTTTGTGTTGTTGGTGTTGTTGGTTTTTTGTTTTGTTTTGTTTTTCTTTTTCATGCCTGGGAAAGGCAGTCATTGCATTTACCTGCTAAGTTCAGTGTCTAACACCCCATGGGAGTTAGAGGGTTTTCTTCCCAGAAGGACGGTGCAGATGAGATGTGGTAGAAAACCAGCATTGTGCTGGCCTTTCTTAGTACTTTAAGACTTTTATGAGTCAGTTCTTAACTCAGAATGATGAATGTTCACACCAGAATTTACAAACAAGCCACTCAGTAGTCATCCTAATTCTAGAAGGTGGACCTTTTACAGACTGTCACCTCCTGCTGCTTTGGCAATGTGAATAAATGAGGACCAAGAGATAAGATTCTCTTCTTTGAGCTCCCTGAACACATGCTCTCTAGTCGTTTTACTGATTTACGACCTATTCCCTTAGGCAGTGAACTTTACCAGTTAAATGCACTGTGTGTGATGATCCCTATGCTCCTGGTGTGTGTTAACTTCAAAATAATTAAAAGTTGTTTTATTACTGTACCAATCCATATTACTACAGTACATCTATAGTAAGTCACACTTTGTCAGAAATCTGTTCAACTTCTTTAATTTTGTCCCAATACAACAGACCATAAAAACCTTTTTCTCCTTGCCTTGGGACTCTTAAAAACAAGCAAACACATACAGAATGATATCTGCAATCCACTAAACCCATGTTTTTGAGGGGTCATGCCAGTTCAGAAACACCTTTGTCAAATCCTCTCTAAAGCAGGGAAAGACTACAGCAGAAAAACCTGTCAGTCTCTCTAAGGGTTCTAGACTACAAATGACTCCTGCAATTTGTGCACAAAAAAAGCCATTAACTGAACCATTGTTATTATCAGATATTACTGGATATCTGCAAATGTAAAAAGTTCAGTTCTCCTAACTACATAGTATGGATACAGTCAAAACTGACTATTTTTCTGACCAAAGGTAAGCCTCTTACACATCTCCTTCAATGTTTTTCTTTTACAGTTTGCACCTGAAGTATCTCAGTTAGTTCTACATGATGCAGGAAAATATCACAGTATCCCTTATGCTGCTGCATAGTGACAGCTGGTTGATAAGTATGTTATATAAGTTATTATTATTTTTAATGAAATTTAATATTTAACAACTGTTCAGCCATAAAGTATTTATTATGGCATGTAAAATATCAATAACATACAGTGATTTATTGTAGAGTAATACTGAAGCAGCCTGTGGTAGTGCAGATAGTGCCTCTGAAGCACATGTTTTATTGTGTCCTTACAACAACCTCAGCCCTGCCCATATTTTCAAAGGAAGGATGAAGTGTTATAACAGTTTCTTGTTTCATTTTATTACAAAAATAGGACTTCTGCTTTTCCAAGGCTGTCAGGTATAACTTATTTCTCAAGGCACTGACAGTTATTGTTTGCAGCTGATACCCAGTTACTCCATTAGACAGTAAAAGCCCTGCAGCAAGTGTTCTGTTTTGTGGTAACCTCATGATACAATCACAGTAAGGAGATATCTCAGAGGTGCTTTGAAGACAGTAAGGATTTACTTAATGACAAGTATATCATTATTTTTCTGTGGCTTCAACTTCTCTGAAGAGAGATCTGTAGTTGGAGTCGTTTGTTTCACTAAGGTCAAATGTTTGTACCTCTAACGTAAATTATAGGACTTATTTGTGTGTGTGTGTGCCTTCCTTCACTTGAACGTGAGATACTGCACTAAACAACAAATACAGTGTGGCAAATGCTGATAGATATCAACATCAGTGCAGGTGTAAAACTTATACCATATACAGAACCAGCACCAGCTTCACAGTCCCTGGGCTGATGGGGAAAGCCCTCTATCGCAAAGCAAGTCACACGTGAGGGTTTTGAACAACCAGCATGCTCATTAGAGACCTGTGATATCCACATCTATATCTGCTCTGGTTACTCTTGATACAAAGATCAGCATGCTTCCCATTGTGTGTTTATGATTTTTGGTGCATTGATTGTTCCTTCTGCACTGCTGAATCAGTAAGGCTGCCTGCTGTTGTCACAGTGGAAAATGTATCTATTTCAGTGATTGTGCTGTGACATACAAAGAGGTGTTGTTTCTGAGAGCTCTTTTAGTCACTGATTCTTAAGAACTACAACCAGAAAGCTGTTAAACACTTTGCAATAAGTGTTTCATTTACTCCCAAATGAACATCTGTTCAAAAAGGATATATATTTTTTCATTCCAAAAAACTTCTGGATAATAAAGAGCATGCTCACAACTGTGGATAGTAGCACAGACCACCTTCACAGCTCCCCTGGGCAAAGCTAGGCAGCAGAGTATTAAAGACCAGAAATTCCAAATAATAACTATTTGCACCCAGAGCTTTTACTGCTATGTAGCATTTCCTGATACCACAGTTGTTTCCTTTGGTCTTCTGCAGTCATCCTTGCTAAATGTGGCATTCGTGCCAGAACACATAGAAATCTCTTTATTTATAGTATCTACAAATCATCTTTCCTCTCCACAATATCCCCAGCTTGTTCTTACAGATTTCTGTAACCACCAGGAATGCTGGATGCCAGGTACACAATATAGCTTTTTACCTTTTGATTTCTCACTTTCTCTCAATTTGCCCAATTAAACTAACTTGTAGAACTGTCGCACTTTCCAGTCTTCTGTTTCTGTATCACTTGTCTGAACTGCCCAGTGCACTTAGAATACATTTAGGGCTTGGGGAAAAGAACACAGAACATTCATTTAAGCCTGAATTTTTTTGTTGTTTTGTGAATGTTTTGTTCTTGTTGTTTGTCCCTTTCTTCCTTTAAAAAAAAAAAAAAAAAAAAGCCTAGAAGCATTTACTTTCCTTTCCCTCACTGTTTCCCATTTAAACTATTCCTTGTCATAACAGCATGGTGGTTTATCTTGCAGAGAGGATGCAGAACCCAAGAAAATCAAAAGGAGTCGTGAGTTTACTCTACAGGGCAATGGCAGTATTTGCCAGCTATGGCAGCAATATGCATACATGGAAAGGAGAAAGTACATGAAGCCATCCTCTACTTAGACTTTCGTACCAGGGGCTAAGGTTTTCTCTGAGAGCATCATGAAGAGTTAGGAATCCTCAGATTGAAAGGCCCTGGCCTTAAGGGCTGAAGAATAGAGCAGCTTTGTACCATTCTGATATTTGCTGACAAATTTCTGCTTTATAAAGTGTTGCCACTGTCCTTTCCATTTATAGCATTACATAGAACCTTTTTAACCTCTAAACCCTGTTTTTGGGTCATACAGGACAGATCCTTACTCAAGGCAACTGCATTTGATGTAGTTATGTCAGGAAGAGACATAAGTAATATTTAAAATGCAGAAATACTTAAAATATGAAGAACCATGCTGATTGGTCAAAAGCATTTAAACTTCTGCGTAAGCTCCAAGGCAGTTGTGTCTTTGTGTACTACTGAGTACGAAATGCTGAGAGGAATTGATGTGGCGGTCTCCTTTTTCTCTAGCTACCCTCCTGCAGCACAAGGCAGCCCTCTACCCCTACAGGACAGCCTGCTTCGTGTTGTTGTCCCTCAAGATCTCGTTCCATTGCTAATTTTTATTTCTAATTACAATAAAACACCATGAAGTCCTGCTCTGACTCAGTGTCTTCCTGACTTTGCCCTCCAACTCCAAGTAACACCCTGCCTGTGTATTTCACCTCAAAGTAAACTTGGCTTGAAAACGCGCTACTTGCGACGTCATTTACAGACGGATGAGAGATGAGCGTTGCCCTCACACTACTTACTGCAATGGTTTCTGACTGCAAATTGCCCAGAGCAGCTCCCTGGGCAGCCTGCTTTCTGCCACCTCAGGCGCTGCCGTCACCCCGCGGGCGTGAAGCTGCCGTACGCGTCCGTGAGACACCGTGAGATGACTCTCCTTTCTGCCACTCTCTCAGTGGCTTCGCCGGGCCTGGAGGCGGCCGGGCTGCCGGGACAAGCGCCTGGCGGTGCGCTGACACACGCCAGCGGAGAAGGGACAAAGGGAACGAGCCCGCCGCCTCCGTGCACCGCAGGAGAGGCACTGCCCACACCGCAGCAGCCCTCCCGCCCGCAAGATGGCGGCCCGCGGGGGCCGGCCCGCCTCGGCCAAGATGGCGCCCGACGCCTCCCCGCCTCACAGTCCCGCTCGCGGCGGGCCGGGCGCGCGCCCAACTGCCAGCTCGGCTCCGCCCCGCGCCTGCGCGCCGGGCGCCTCCCGCCCCGTCCAGGAGGGGGTCGTGACGTCAGCAGCGTGCGCCGCTGCTCGGCGCCGCCCGCGGGAGTGCGCGCGCCTGCGCAGTGTGGGCGAGCGGAGGTGCGGGCGGCGCGGAGGGGCCGGCGATGGCCGCGGTCGGGCGGCGCTCAGGTACCGGCGCGGGGCGGGCCGGGCCGCGGGGCCTTCTCGGGGCGGGCCGCGGGGGGAGCCGGGGCCACGGCGGGCGCGTGGGACGGCGCCGGTGGCCGGGGGAGGAAGAGGAGGAGGAGCGGTGGGGGGAGGGCAGGCGGGCGGTCGTCCGCTTCCCGCCCGGGCCGTGCCGCGGCCCCCGTGGCCCGGGCTCTGCGTGCGGGGCCGGCCGTGCCGAAAGGTGTTTTGTTGCCGCCGCTTTCGCTTCTCCTTTGTACTTCTGGCGTTGCCGTAGTTAAAAATCTCCTCGTGGCGAAGGAGCGGCGGCGGGCTTTCCTCGAGGCTGCGCCGCACCGTGCGGGGGCCGCCGCTCCGCGCCCATCTCTTCCCGCCCGCGGCTCCGGGAGCGCCGCGCTGCTTTGCGGCCCGGCCCGCCCGCGGCGGCGTCTCCGGCGGCAGTTTGTGTTTCCCGCGGTGCCGCGTGCTGCCCGCCGCGTGCCGGCACTGAGCGCGATTCTTTTCCTTTTTCTTTTTCTTCTTCTTTTGTTTGCGTGTGTTTCAAAGCTCGCCGCTGCGCTCTATTCTCGTAGGTTGCGGTTCCAGAAGCTAGACGCTGGGAGCTTTGCCTTTCGCCATGGCTCAGTTCGGAGGACAGAAGAACCCTCCGTGGGCCACTCAGTTTACAGCCACCGCCGTGTCCCAGCCAGGTCAGTGACTGCACGGCATCTGCGCCGGGCTCCCACGGGCACGCAGCCCTGAAAGGCAGCAGCGTTTCGTATAAACGGCTCGTGCTGGCTGCTTCCCACACCGGACAGGCGCTTAAAGATATTGACTTAATATCCGTTGCTCTGTGAGGGGAGATGAGTAAAATCGCGGATGGATTTCTGTTGATTCTCAGGGTTAGTGAACAAGGAATCGAGTTATTCATATCCAGTGCTGCGTAAATCACACCGCGCTGCTCCGTGTTAAGTAATGTCAGCCCCAGGAAGGCACTGCTGTTCTTGAAGTGCTGCCAGAGTTTCATTTCCAGGGCAGCCTAAATCGGTGCTTATGAAGTAATTCATCTTATTAATACAGAAGGCATGCTTTGTACAGTGAAGATGTCTCTGAAGTTTGCTACTTGGTGGGGAGCAGCTGTATATATGCGTGTGTGTGCGTGTATATCTATATATATTTAATGCCAACCCAGAGATATCACCCTGCTAATAACGGGGTGTCTTTTTGCTTTACCTGAGAGGCCTCTTTGATTGCAGCACGGTATTTTTGAAAACCAGGCAAGCTATACTTTGTTTTCACGTTGTTTTATAGTGCTGAGGGCTTTGAGCCAGAAATATGAAGCTTGCTGTGTGGCAAACTTCAGGGCTGCTTTTTTCTTCTATATACAAACTGTTTCCTTAATATTACAGGTTGCCTGATGTGAATAATGGTAATAATGGTTCAAAAAAAAAAAAGCGGGACATCTTCGAGGACTCAGGATAAAGAATTGTCTGTTTTCTGTGCCATTGTCCCTGGAGTCTTACTCCTGTTTGATGTGAAGCAGCATGCCATCCCTCCCTGGTCAGGGGCTTGAGTTCTGAGCACAAGTTGGGGATGCATGCCTGTGATTTACAGGAGCTGTGTGTCTGGACAGACAAACTGACATCTCTCTCTTGACTCTATTTGCTTTCCCTAAGTTACTTCATCTCCAGATTTTCCCTTGGGTGCTACTCCAGCCAGAAGGCATACTCTAAGGGCGCTGCCTGTGACCTCAGCTGCATGCAGTCCCAGGTTACCCCTGTGCAGCCCTTTGCCTCTGCTGTTGCTGTGCCCCACCAGCTGGCTGCGTGCAGTTTTCCTCATTTCTCTGAATAACTCATGCTTCCCTCATTCAAGTGGTGCCACTCCTCTGAGAAGTTGCTTACCAATGGGCAAAGGCAGCTGTAGCGAGCATGGGAGAGACAGATGTTGCCTTTGGTTGTGGTGTCTGACTTGGTGCCACCTTGGAGCAATTGAAGGACAGCAGCCTTGGGGCTGGGGCCTTCTCAGGAGCCAGCGCATCAGGGAGGTGGGTACAAGGCCGGCCTGAGGGCTGGCTCCATGCTTCTGTGGAGGGAAGGCCACACAAACATGGAGAGAGTAGCTGGCAGCCATCTTACACCTCCCAAGGCGAGGACCAGAAGGGGCCCTGAGCAGATGGTGGGTGGAGTGTGGGCACTGGAGGCACAGCCTGACTTCTGATCCCTAGTCCTGTTCCTGCAGCTCTACCTTTGGTTAGCCTGCTTCTCAGCCTCCTTCAATTAAACGAAGTGAAGAATTTAATTGGGATAGAACCATCAGTTGCTGCTGTGTGAGGTGTTTCACCAGTTAAATGAGGACAAGGAATCTCCCGGCATTTTCAGCTGCTCATCTAATCCAGTAGCACCTGATGCTAACATAACAGCCACTGAAGACTAACGTTTAATTGCAATTCAGCCACCTTCTTGCAGTGTTTCCACTGTCCTTCGTGATCACTTGGAAGCATTTAGCTCCTTACATCGCTCTCTGTGGTCTCTTCCTTTTCCTGCTGCTATTCACAGTTGCCAAGTCTGTGTCCTCTTTCATTTTTGTCTTTATTACTGACTCCAGTCACTGGGATACTGCCACCCTGCTCCATTTGTAGTGCTCACGTACACAAAGTTCCCTTCTTTATTGGCCGACCTGATTTGTAACAGGAAATGCAAGAAACCTTTCTGAAAAACATGTGCTCCTTGGCATGTTGAGAGCTGAAGCACTTCAGCTCTGAGCTGCAGTTGAGCAGCCCCCCTTCCTGCAGCTTTCAGCATGGAGGTGTGCCTGCCTGTCTGCTGGGCTGCTCTGCTGATGGGGGGTGCTGACTGGCATGTGGTGCTTCTCACCTGCAGCTGAGCTCAAGAAGTTGTGCAGACTGGCTTCAGTAAATCGTTATGTTCATGAACAGATTGAAGAAAAAAAAAACCCAACATTTTGTAAAAGCTGTTAAATTGATTTATGAATGGCAGCTGTTTTTAATGGAGTGTGGGCTCCTTCTCCAAAGCACCAGGGTGCTTGCATACTGGGGAAAGAAATCCTGATTTTCATAGTGCAAGCTGTGTCATACGGAGCTTTTCCTAAATTTTGGTCACAAGTGGTGACTGATAATATTGCAAAATCAATTTGATTGTTGCAAAAAGATAATTTCAGGAGGATTTTTTTTTTTCTCTTGCTGACTTTAATAGTGTGTTGGCCATTTCTGGTGAAGAATCACAGAATCACAGAATTGCCAGGGTTGGAAGGGACCTCAAGGATCATGAATCTCCAACCCCCCTGCCACATGCAGGGCCACCACCATTCCACCTAATGCTAGACCAGACTGCCCAGGGCCCCATCCAATCTGGCTTTGAACACCTCCAGGGACGGGGCATCCACAACCTCCCTGGGCAGCCTGTTCCAGTACCTCACCACTCTCTCCGTAAAGAATTTCCCCCTGACATCCAACCTATATCTCCCTTCCCTCAGCTTAAAACCATTTCCCCTTGTCCTGCTGTCACTCACCCTTTCAAAGAGTTGATTCCCCTCCTCTTTGTAGGCTCCCTTTAGGTACTGAAAAGAAGAAGTCACTATACAAGTTTGGACTTCAATTATCTCTAGAGTACATCACTCTAAGGTAGTTGTAGAGTTACATACCATGTAATGAAGTGTTCCTGGGATTGTTCTGGGACAATTACTTACTAATTACTGTCTGTGCCTCTGGTGTTAGAAGACAGGTAATTCCAGGGGCCACTAAATGCCTGGTGAGGAGAGACTCTGAGGAGCCATGAAGTGAAGTTGTTGCTCTAGTGGAATGGTTTTGTGCATTGCATAACTGAAAACAGAATGAAGTCCCTCCTATGCTGGTTCAGAATAGTTAAAGCGTAGATTGTACCTATTGCAGAAACTTGAAAGGTAGGAAATAAAAAATGTGAAATTTCTAGATAAAACAAAGTGCTTGTTCTAAGTACTTCTGATTCGTGTGATGATGCGTGAATTCCTCAGATGCCTTCCTGTTCTCTCAGTGTGTTTTGTTGGTGGCGTGGTGCTTAGCATGTGCTGTCTTCAGGATTGAGATGTCCCCCTTGTGTTTTGGAACCTGTTTTTGTGGAACTGAAGTTCTGGCTGATGAGTGTTTCCTTCATTGCTGTATCGAGACCTAATGTAACAGTTGTGCCCTGTGGTTGCTGGTGGCTGCTATGAGATGACTGAGAGAAGTGTCAGCGAAGGACAAGCGTGTGGTGGGAAGTCACATTTGCTGTCAATTCCGAGAGGCATCCAGAGCCCTTGGTAGGCAGGGTGCTTATTTACAGTAACACGTAGATCTATGTCACTTACCTCTGGAATTGAGAAGCAGCAAGAGGAACTGTTAAATATTGCTTAACAAATTAAAAATTTGGTTGTAGCAAGAGAAATTTCTGTTGGATGAAAGGATGTTTGAGCTGCAGCCTAGGTCTCAGATTTGGCCATAGGAGATTTAGAATACAACTTTAGAGTGAATGACAGTAGCTAATGTAGCCAAACAGATTCAAAGGTAATAGCATTAAGTGAGCTCATGTGCTAATAGGAAGTTTTGTTCAGTGTTTAGAAGTGAAAATAATGCATTTGGTGGTTGGTTTGTTTGTTTTTGTCCTGAATGAGCCAGCAAAGTAATATTAGACAAGAAAAGTGGAAGTTATTCCAGGATAACATCAGCAGAGCATTTTATTAGATCTAGGGTCTGTTTAAGGTGTGTTTTATAAGGCATTGGTAAGAGTGTGCTTCTAGATGGTCAGAAACTCAGGTTGTAATTGGAACTGGCAGAGGGAGAAGCAGCAG